TGGCATCTGATCGCGCCGGTTTAATCCGCCCTCAATCCATCCGTTTCGCAGGGCAAATCCTCCCGTGTGACCGGGGCCAGTATAATTTATTTAGTTCATTTATACCTCACTTTTTCTCCTCAGTGGGGACTCAAAGTGGTTTACAATCTCCTCTCATCCATTTTATCCTCATAGCAACTAGGGTTACCAGCTGTGGGTTGGGAAATACCTGGAGACTTGGGGAGTGGGGTTTGGGGAGGGGAGAAACTTAAATGGGTTATAATGCCATAGAGTCCACCTTCCAAAGCAGCCATTTTCTCCAGGTGCACAGATCTCTTTTGCCTGGAGATCAATTGTAATCCCAGGAGGTCTCCAGCCACCTCCTGGAGGTTGGCAACCCTAATAAGATCCCTGTGGGGTAGGTTAAGCTGGGAGCATGTAACTGGCCCAAAACCAACCAGCAAGCTTCCAAGGCAGAGTGGGATCTGAACCTCTGTCTCCAAATCCTAGTCCAAAAAGCTAACTCACTAAACAACACTGGCTCTCATAAGGAAGGTTCAGGTGTTCTTATGAGGTAATAAAAATGGTGCAAATCAGAAAAAGAGGATTATAGCTCCTCTATGTATTCCAGCAGCCATTCTCACGAAATATGAATTAACAGGAAATGTTCTGTAAATCTAGAGTCCCAACATCGCATCTCAAAGATCCCAAGAACAGACTGCCTCAAGATAGCCCCTCCAAAGAGGCCACAAAAGTAGCAGCCAATCTCTTATACTCACTGAAACAGTGTCCGTCGTCTCTGAACAATCCAACCTTGTTTCCTCCCTGGCAAAGGGAGAATTGTTGGGAGACAAACCAGGAGCAGGATATACAAAACCACTTTTCCCCTCTGAAATTTTGCACAAACTTCTTTCTAAGGTAGTTAGAATTCTGGAATTATAAGATAAGACCAAAAAAGAAGAAAGAAATTTAGCAGGCTATTCCATAGGATCAGGGCTTATCTAAGCCCCTCACCAGTTCCTTTCCTGAACCGTTTCAAAATCTAGTCATGATGGAACAGGTAGCCCCAGATAAATACATTGAGGTATGTGCTTTAAAAACATATTTTGAAGCACCCTCAGGGGCTCCAAGAGGGCCTCAGCTACTAAATCTCTTTGTGGACGTTATTTATTTGTGGCCAGGTAACAGCCTCGAGGGATATGGATCTCTCTAAAGAGATAGACAATAAAAAAAAAAAGATTCACTGAATAGTCCTCCTTGTAGATTCCTCTGTGGATTCCATCCATTTTGCAGCAGGGCTTCAGGCAAAAGGATTCTCTCTGCAGCCCATAGAAATACTTGGCTTCAACCCTGAGAAGTTGCCCCAGGCTTCCAATCACTACTTGACAATGTCTCCCCCGTTGCTCATATGGCACTATGTATGAGGTAATGAAGTAACATTGAACCCATAAAATGGAACACTTCATTCTGAAAACATATTTTTACTGGCATGACAGGTCTTAGGAACAGGTCCTAAGAGACTAAGATACAGCAACAGGCATCCTATATTTATGTAAAAGTTAAGTTGTGCTGGCGATAACTCACCTAGTCCCCCATTGGTCACCTTGGTGTCCTATTAGCCCATGCCGCCGGCTCCCCCGTTCTTACACCCCCACTTTTGACATGTTACATCGTAGTAGTTGTAGTTCTCAGCTGGCCTTACTGCAACCATAGCAAAGGGAATTAGAACTACAACTCCCAAGTTGGGAGTCCCAAGAGACCATGGGGCATTAGCAGGGAGTCCCTTAAACTGTTAATTAGTTAAAGTGTTGAACAGGGAGCAGCTTTGGAATTGAAAGGGGTTAGGGGGAAAGGGAAGGCCTGGGCATCTCTCTGAATTACAATTCATCTCCAGACTGCAGAGCTCAGTCCCCATGGAGAAAATGGTTGCTTGGAGGGTGAGCTCTATGGCAGTACACCTCACTGAAGTCCTTCAAAATACCTGGCTCTCCCCTTCATCTTGCCAACCTCCAGGTGGCACCTGGAGATCTCCAAAATCAGTTCTCCTGGAGAACATTGCTGCTTTGTGCAGTGGACTCTATGGCATTATACCCTACTGAAGTCCCACTCCAAACCCTGCCCTCTCCAGGCTCTACCCCTCAAATCTGCCAACCCTGTAACTGGCTACAGAACTGCTTTCCAGACCCTTGAAACCTAGAAAACATGGCATAGGAGGAGGTGCTTTTCTACCTTAGCTGCCACTGCATAGCCTCAAATCAACATAAACCAAGACTTTAGGAAACTATACCTGTTACCATGCGGCTTTCTTCCCATACTACCCATTTGGGGCAGCAAAATGACTTGTGACAGCCCTGCCTTATAGCTAAGCATAAGGAAATAAATAAACATGGCTTGCCTACCTCTATTTTCCCTTTCCTCCACCGCCCCACCGACGACAGCTGAGACACTCACCTGGAGCATCTTTCTACATCCCATTGTATTTCTTCCCACAATATATAAAATCCTTCTGAGATTATTTAAAATGTAATTGAGAAGAAATCTGTGGTAATTGCCATTTACAATATATGTTGTTGTTCAGTCGCACAGTCGAGTCAGACTCTTCGCGACCCCATGGACAAGATCTCGCCAGGCCCTCCTGTTTTCCGTTTTATTTTATGTAATATACCATTACATAAAATGTCCAATTTAGAAAAAAATCTGCAAATTCTACTGAGCCCCTGGAACTCACAATGCCTCAAGCAGGAAACTCATTTATTTGAGACAGAAACAATATGTATCATCTTTTAAAACTGGTGTACTGTGATTTGCTTTGAGTTTACTGGTAGCCTTTTCTATTCCCAGATGTCAAAATGGAGAGCTTGTGTAAACTATGAGTTTAGCCTGGGTTTGTGTTGAGTTGAAGTTAATTTAACCAGCACCTGATCAGTATAAAAAGTACCTTGAAATTGATGTAGGTACTGCAGAAAGTTGTGTTCAACTTACAATGGTTTAAAGAAAAGCTAATCAGCAAATTACAAAACACTAAAGATGGATATTCAAATTAAGTCAGTAATTGGACATGGTAAAACCGCATGTTTAGTGCCTTTTCTTGCCTTTTTCCTTCCTTTGTTTTTTCAGCCTGGAAGTTCATATTTCATCCTGTTCGGTGGGATTTCTTTTGTGCTTCTCATATATCTAATTTTCCTGCTCTGGCGCTTCTTATTACACCATGCTTTGCGATGAATGTGCTGCATGTTGGTTTTTTTCAAACCACAATTTAATATATGGTGTTGCGTTCCATTGACTATATGGCTGTCCCATGCATGAAATAAATAGCAAGTCTGCTCCTGGTGTTCACTGAGTGTGTATCTTTTTAGCAAGCATTTTTTTAAAAAAATAATAATCTTCAATTGCCCCTATGCTATAAAAAATAAAATACTGTAAGCATGTAGTTACCATAGCACTCTGACATTGAAAATCAGAATTACTTGAACATCATCCACAGAAGTCCTATTCAAATGATACCAGGAGCTTAGAAATCAGTGAACTTAAGCCTTGCAATGGGTACAAAAAGCTGGCCCCCATCCCCTTGCCTGATCACCAGTTTGTGAGCATGACATCTACATGTGGAAGCTGTCTCATGATCAGAAACAGTACCATTGCTGCCCCGATCACTAGAATAGAGCCTACATACATATACTTTCTATGGATGCAGAAGTCATATTCACTAGCTGGTGATCCTGCACAGGCAGGGGATGGGGCCAGCTAGTTGATCCATGTTCCCCTTTTGTGTGCATTGACTCTACGTGTGCCTTGTGTTGTTTGAAGAGAGCTAGACGGAGATAAGAAATGAAAATTGATGGGATGGAGCATTTTTTCTAGAGAGATCTGAGAATGTAAATTACATTGAATTACATTGACTTAAAATGATAACTCTGATGGGGGGAGCGTTTTTTTTTTTTACTTTTGTCATACCTGATCCATTTTATGCATTTTGATTAAATCCCTCAGCCACTGTCTACCTGATATACTATACTGGACTATTTTCAGCTCTGTAACAGGCGTGAACAGCACTTTTATGATATATATGGATTTGGACCATAAAGGCCATGGTTTAAATCGTGGTACAGCAATGAACTTTCTGTTTGGCTTTAATGTCACCTTTGGTCCTGATTTATATTAAAGACTTACCTCACAGAGATATGAGGAAGATGTTTACTGCAGGGCATTTTGGATGCTAAACAGTGTCATAGAAGAGAGTAATAGCAAGGCATATGTAACTAAGTACACTATACAAAAAACAGGTGAAGTGGTTTATATTACACTAGAAACAACAAGTATTGCATTTGAAAACAACACGTAGACTAAAAGATAGATGTTCTTCTAATGGAAAATATAGTGCAGCTATTTTTATCCTGCAGTAGACAATTTCAGTTTTTCAGAAACTTGCCACAATTTTCTACTTGTCTAGACTTTTAGGTAGAGCATTCTCAGCAATGATAGTAATAATCACATTGCATTATGTCACTGTTGTTTCATGGGCATGTCTATGGAAATGTAACTTAAATTTCTCCTTGAAATCAAAATAAATTAATTCTTTTCAGTACAAATTTCAATCATAGGTGGATAATAGAAATGTAGCTATAGCCTTATTATTTAAAAATCTGTTTGTTCCAAAATGCCATGGGCTGTAGCTGCTTTTGTCGTATTTTGGTGAAAAGCCAACAATAATGCTACCTAGAAAAGAAAATTACAATGTAAAAACTGACAACTTAAAGGTGTTAGTGTGATTCTGAACCATAGCCTTTATAGTTGTAATCTAGCTGCCTCAAAGTCCCTGTATCTATAAAAGTAATAACTCAGACCAGTTTTGTCTGAGCCTGTATCCCTTCATTGCATTCCAGATTTGAAGCACATAAGGCAGTAAGATAACTTATCATAAAATGTCTGACAGTGCACACATCAGAAGGGTTTACCGGGTAAAAATGCAATCTTTGTCCCAACTGCTGAAGATATTTTATAACTTTGTTATTCTTTTGTAGATCATCTACAAGGCTGTCAGTTCCTTTGACCCAGAAATAGATTTATCCAACCAAAGTGGACGTGTTTTAAAGCATGGGAATGAAACACACTATTTATTTTTTGGTCTGTATCCTGGGACTACTTATTCCTTCACCATAAGAGCCAGTACAGCCAAAGGTTATGGACCTCCCATCACAAGCCAATTCACTACAAAGATATCAGGTATTATTTAAATTCAACACTGTTTCTCTTTTGGCTTCTAGCTATTATATTCATTTTGTTCCTTACTTGGAATTTTATAACTTGAAAGTAGCATATCTGCAATGCAATCCTAAACATGTATACACAGAAGTCACATTTAATTCACTGGGATTTCCTAGTAAGTGTGTTTAGGATTGCTGTCCTAAAGTATAAAATGTATTTCCTTTTGAAACAGCAGCATCCAAACTTTGAGTTAGCATTATTATTCCCCTGCCATTGTCCTTTTGTGAATAATCTAATCACATGTTTATCTTTCACTTTTCAAATGTATTACTTATATGTGATGATCTATCTCAATCCTAATCTCCTCCAGAAATTCTTGGAGGATTCTAGTTGACATTTTGGTCCTAATTTTGGTTTTTAATCTATTATCAAAAATTATAAATTACAAATATTCCTTGAAGAGAAAAACAAGATCACTATTGTTTGTTACTGAATAATAAATTGATACATTACCTGGAACCCTGGGAAATGTAGAATATTGGACAGCATAATCTTATAGAAGTACTGCATCTACAGTAGTATGAAGAGTGGCTTCCAGTGTTATAATTATGCCATAGTTATCATGGCAAGTAGTAATAGTTGCTAGTTTCAAACAAGATCCAAGTTACCTTTCTTACGATAACACGAAGATGCTACAGGAACCAGTCCCACCCTAATAGCAGTGCAATTCTTTGAATATTGTCAGGATTGTCCTTCTGGCAACGGCCACTGTCTTCTGCTGCACTAGCACACTGATTTATATGGCCATGCTGTTAATATCAACTGTTTGTCTTTTCTTCCTTGAATGCCCTAACTCTGTATACACACATTCTAAAACATTTTTAGTTATTTAAATACTAAGAATAAGGCCCATTGTGGAAATAAATACAAGAAGCTCTGGGCGGGTGCCCTGGCCTTGGGCATGGTGTCAGTTTGCTGTGGTGACCTCAGCAGGGTATAATGACACAGAGCTTACCACTTTCTCCAGGAGAACTGATCTCTGCCATTTGAAGAACAGTTGTAATTGAGTTTTCTCCAGCCCTCCCCTGTAGATTGGCAACAATGGTTTCACAGGAGGAAATGGCTGGTTTGGTAGGGGGAACCTATGGCACTGTACTTGTCTGAGGACCCACCCCTCATCAAACTCTAGCCTCTACAGCCTCTACAGGATCCACCCCTCAAATCTCCAGGAATTTCCCAACCTGGAGTTGGCAACCCTAACTCCTTTCCAGCCAATCATCAACCTCCCTTTATCTGCCCCTCTAACTTCAGCTTTCCATCTCCCCCAACACACAGCTGGAGCCTCTACCTAGGAAAAGTACAGTCTTTCTCCACAGTGGGGATCCAAGCAAGGGGGAAGCGACCTCAGCAGGGTATAATGACACAGAGTCCACCCTGCAAAGCAGCCGTTGTCTCCAGGGGAATTAATGTCTGCCATCTGGAGAACAGTTTTAATTCTGAGTGATCTCCAGCCCCCCTGGAGATTGGCAGCAATGGTTCCCAGGAGAAAATAACTGCTTTGGAGGGTGGAATCCATGGCATTCTATTCAGCTGGGGCCTGCCCCAAACGCTGGCTTCCATAGACTCCACTACAAAATCTCTAGGAATTTCCCAACCTGGAGCTGGCAGCCCTAGTGAGGACTAGCCCCAATGAGTCCCCTACCAAGGCCTTTGCCTTTTTACTGACAGAACCAAGCTTGGTTGCCTAGCAACAGCCACTGAGGGAAAAGTTAGCCCCACAGCAGGAGGAGAAGAAGAGAATGATTTGACAGCCGGTGGCCCATCTCAGTAGCCAGCCTGTCACAGAGGAGCCAAGCAGAAGTAGAAGTGTCTTTGTCAGGAGTGACAGCCATTTTGGCAGTTTATTCTGTCACGGAAGAGTGTCCAGGTTGGCTGTGCGGGAGAGAGGAGTGAATCCAGCACACAGACAATGGCACGCAAGTATTCTTGAGTGGCAGTTGATAGGCCAGTGGCTGATGGAGCGCACAGCACAGCCAGTGGGAGAGCTGGAAAATGCCAGTACATTGGGTGTGTGGGGACAAAGCTACAAGAACATCTTACAGGACAATTATGAGATGGCAGTGAAAACCGCAACGAATGAATTTTATGCAGCCTCCATTGGGTCTGCCAGCTCAATTATTTAGAGTAATAAGATCACTAAATTCCAAAAAAATTAGTAATTTGAAAATTAGCTGTGAGACTTTTGCAAGCTATTTCGTGGATAAAAACTTGTTGCTCCACCAGGACCTGCCTGCCAGTGTTGATACAGTATGGGAACTGGAGGCCCCTTGGCCGTCTTTGGATATAGAAATGAACAAATTCAGTCGACTCTCAGGACAAGGTTGACAAGATCCTGAGTGCTGTGAAGCCCAGCACCTGCCTCCTAGACCCATGTCCATCATGGCTGGTGAAAGCCAGTGGTGATGGAATACAGGTCCCCCTGGAAAATATTATAAATCTATCCCTGAGATCTGGGACCTTCCTGGGGACTTTAAAGAAAGCAGTGGTGAAGCCGCTCTTAAAGAAGCCATTTTTGGATCCCACTAATCAATCTAACTACCACCCGGTTTTGAACCTTTCATTCCTGGTCAAAGTAGTTGAGAGAGCGGCAGCAGCTCCAGGTATTCCTGGAAGACACCGGGGTTATTGATTCCTTCCAGAGCCAGTTTGGTGTAGTGGTTAAATGCATGGATTCTAATCTGGGAGAATTGGGTTTGATTCCCCACTCCTCCACTTGCAGCTGCTGGATGACCTTGGGCAAGACATAAAGATCAATTCTCGGAAGAGTTCTCTCAGCCCCACCTACCTCACAGAGTGTCTGTTGTGGGGAGGGGAAGGGAAAGGAATTTTGTAAGCTACTCTGAGACTCTGAGTGAAGGGCAGGGTATAAATCTAGTCTCCTCTCATTCTCCTCCTTTTCCAGTCCAACTTTTGCTATAACTATGGGATGGAGAAAGGCCTTTAGCCAGGACTTTGTGGCTTGTGGGGCAATTTTCTTTCTGGTGGGCTGAAGTTCTCAGTGCAGAAAGAAAAGCCATTTAGCCAATAGAAAGCTGTTACCAGGCTAGAGCTCTAAATTGCAAGCTGTCAACCATTTTAGATGACAGTTCTCAGCTGCTGCAAGTTAATCAATTTTGCCAGCCTAAGCGACAATTCTGATAACAAGCCAGCAAGTAGGGGTGATAAGAAAGCTAAGGCAGAAAAACTCTCTTAAAGGAGAGCAGTTTCTTAACACAAAGTTAGAAGGGATCCTAGAGGTCACCTACTCAAACCCCCTTGCTCAGTGCGGGAATTAAACAACTACTGCACCCCACTCAGCTTAAAGGATCACACACCTTTTAAAAATGTTCTTAAATTATTGGAAAAAAGCATTTACAGGAGAAATTGTTGTGGATCTATGCCCTTAAGAAAGGGGGCGGAGCCCCCAAAAGCCACACCATAGCTACAGCCCTGGGTGGAGACAGCATTGGTTGCCCTCACAGAGGACCTCCATAGACACCTGAATTGCGGCGGGTCAGCGCTGCTGTTTTTGCTTGGTCTCACAGCAGCATTTGGCAGGGTTGATTATGACCTAGTGACCCATTGCCTCACCAACATGGGGATTCGTGGGACAGCCTTGAAATGGTTTGTCCCATTTCTGAACAGTTGGGGACAGACGGTCGCATTTGGGGAGAGGGTCTCAACTTAACGCCGTTTGGTGTGCAGAGTCCCTCAGGGGGCAGTCCTCTCGCCAATGTTATTTAACATCTATATGCACCCCCTCACCCAACTGATATGGAGCTTCGAGCTGGGATTCCACCAGTATGCTGATGACACCCAGCTGTATCTGTTGATGGACGGCTAGCTAAATGCGACCCCAGACAATCTGGCCAGGGGCCTAGAGGCTTTGGTTGATTAGTTGAAGCAGAGCCAGCTGAAACTGAATCCATCAAAGACCTTGTGGCTGAGCAGAGGAGATCCCAGTTTGGAATGCCAACTTTCAGCCCTTGACAGTGAGCCATTAACACCAAGGTCACTTGTGAAGACCTGGAAAGTCCAACTGGTCCATCTAGAGCCCATGTACAACCAGTGCTTCACCAGCTGTACTGGCTCCAAGTTGAATACCAGATCGGATTCAAGGTTTTGGTTCTAAC